ACAAAATGTGTAGTGTTTTGCTTCTGTGAAGGAATTGTATAGACAGCAATGGCCTACTGAATCCTGAAAATGAAGCAAGTTCTGTTCTTGTAGTTTGATAGGATGCAGTAAGACCCGAATGGACTTTTCTGGTCTCACGGGTATATTTTCATATGTGTGAAGATGGACCTGCATTTTTAAAGGCTAATTACATCATCACTGATTTTGAGACATTAGGTAGTAAAGATATCCATAGTACAGGAAAAGAAAAACAGTCTTGAGCAGCTTACTTTACAGTCACTCCCTCTCGGTGACCTAAGGATGTGATCTCCAAAGTGGGGCCCACCTGCTGGTAGGACAGGAGATATGAGTGCATGAAAAATTACATTTCGTGACCTGGGTATTGTGGTACATGACTTTAATCCCAGCACACCTTGGCAGAGGCAGGTGGATCTCTGAGTCTAAGGCCAGCCTGGTCTACAGAATGAGTTCCAGGACAGCTAAAGCTACACAGAAAAATCCTGTCTCAGGGTGGAGGTAGGAACTACATTCTGCATTTCAATAATTCATTACTCCAATAAATTCTACATGAAGAAGGGGGACCACCCCATTATTTCCCAGACTGTTGTTTAAGATCCAACTGAACATGGAAAGTCCCTGATGCTAAGACTACCCCTTACTCTAGCCGCACGAACCAACCAGCAAGGACAGCAATTTGAACCAAAGGGTTTTTAGGTTTCATGCTTAAGAAACCTATGTTTCCCTCTGCAGAAATCGAGAGGGGCCTACCATGCAATACTGTTCACACAGAGCACCAGTTTCTCTTTGAAAAGTCAAAGTTTGCCTTGAGAGTCGCTGGCCTCCTGCCCTTCAGAGGCCCAAGGCCTCTGAGGACTGTAAGAGGCTGCCGTAATCCTCAGTTGAGGGTCCCTCTGCCTTCACTAGTGGCCCCTTGGCTGCCGAGCCGAGGTTTACTGTTGTTGTAGCTGTTGATTTTTTACAGCTCGGGTTCTAGGTCTTCCGTGGCAGAGTGTTCACTTCAGGCCTCTTAGGACATCGTTGGGAACTTGTTTATTCTTTCTGTGTGTGTGCCTGAGTGTGTGCATCTGTGCCACACGCACTCAGGCTGCCGTGGAAAGTTAGAAGCAAGCATCAGAGCCTCTAGATCTTGAGTTACAGGCAGTTGTGAGACCCTGTGTACATGCTAGGAATGGGACCTAGGTCCTCTGCCTCTCAACCTCTGAGGCATCTCTCCAGCCCCCGAGAGTAGTACTTTTAATATATGTTAATTTAACAAAGGATTAGAGACTAAAATTTTCTTCACCTGTGGGCACAGAAGCTTCTCACACATTATTCATGTGGGCACCCGGGATGATGGGTCTACCTGGGCTTCAGGTCAAAGCTTCTGTGTCTGATTTTGCATTTGCTAAGATGGCCGTGTGAAATTCTCACTGGGACAGAGCTGGAAAGGAGTCCCTGGTGGCAGGAGTAAGACCAGCACACAACTTGCAGCTCCTAAAGCTCTTCTCTCTTCTGCTTCCTGGCCTCAAGGAGCATCCAAGAAAAAAGACAGAGGATCGGAACTAGTGTGAGTCATGAGGGTGGCTGGGAGGGAAGGCTGCGTGGAGATCAAGTTCTCTCTAGAGAGCTGGTTTCTCCCTATGACACATTTAATGGAAGGAGTCTGAAAACAGATCACACGCCTTCATTGTCAGCCCGAGCAGGCAGGAACCACAGACATAGTTTCCCACACAGCTTGCTCCGTCTCACAAAATGCTGTGTCGGTACTTTCCGTTTTCCTTCTTGTTGTCGCCAAACTCCAAATGCTTGCTGGAAAAAAAAAAAAAAAAAAAAAAGATAGGCCTTGTGGCCGCTGTTTGTCATTGTCGGGAACCAGGACAAGAGCTCCTCTGGCTGCTGGTTCCTTGTGACACTGTGGAGGAGTCGTGTTTGGTGTCTGTTACTGAAAGTCATCCAGGCACCTGCCAATTCCAGAGTCCTTGAAAATGCCATTTTCTAACCTTCTGACCATACATTCCCCAGATCGAAGGGTGCCTTTGCCTGTGAGGGATCACACTCCAAAGATTCCCTTATTTATCTCATTCATTTTAAGTGCATCATTAAAAAGAAATTGTTCGGAATTAGTCTGAGGCTCTGATTCTCACAAGTTATTTCCTGGCACTAGAATGGCTGTTAAGTGTGTCATTTGGCGGTGTTGCTAGCTTCTGGCCAGAGCCTTTTAAAAGTCTCTTTTAAGAGTCTGGCCCCTCAGTGCATAGCTCCAGATGGGTTCAGGGAACCCCTCCCCCAGCTGGCCCCCTCTCACACCTCCCCACCCAGCCCCTGTTCAGAGCAGTGAGCCTGACCCCAGAGGTGTGGCTACTCAGGGTTTCCAGGCTGTGCTCCGTGAGCTACCCAGGCCCCCACAGTGATAACAGCCCAGACTCCTGCTCTGCTGAGAAGTGTTCTTCACGAGCCCTTAAAGTGCTTATCTGGCAACTTCTGTGTGTAATACCCAGAAAATGTAAGGCCTCCGGGCTCTGTGTCTTTTCTGAATGTAAAGCCAGCAAACCTCTAAATAGTTTTGGAATGAACAAATAAAATGCACTGGAGATATGCAGCCACTTCCTCCTCTGTGATAGCACCTTGGTTTGGCTTTCCTCTGCCAAAGGAGAGCGAAGTTCTTCATCCTGGAAAATACCTCTTCTCCATCTCTCTGCCTCCTGAAAGTCTCCAGGAAGACTTTCCAACAGTGCGAGGCCAAGGTGGCTGATGTTTCTGGTTCATTTCCAGATGTATCATTTCCTCAGGTTAGTCTGGTCTGATAGAGCTGGGCTGACAGGAGAAGCTCTCGCACAGCCCTGACACCAGACAATTCCAGAGAAAGGAATGGGTCAGGATTGGCAGCAGGCACAGTGGTGCATAGTCTGACCTACGGCTAGGCCTCACTCCCCAAGGGTCAGCAGGCCTCTGCAAGGGTCCAGCTATTTTGGACCAGAGAAAATATCAAATGGGGAAAGACTACATTTGGTTCTGACTATTGGGTTATATGCTCACGATGAACTGAATAGCCACAGCCTTTCTCTGTAATTTGACAACCAATGACACGAATGCAGTGGTGGGAGAGCGGTAGCTTGAAGAATTTGCCCCTTGGATCTTCACACTGTGGATAAGTGATTCCTCATTAGAGAGGAACACTGCACAAACACTGCGGCTGAGTAGAAAGAAGTCAAAAGATCGATAAGCTAGTTTCTCACATTTGTGACCAATTTATAATTCACACGGGATCTCCACGGCATCTCACTTGGTGCCCCCATTGACCTCACGGTGGAGTCTGGGGCTGCAGAGCGAGCTTTGTCGGATCCTGCCCCGCTTCCTCCGGGATGCTGCACCTGGGCCCCGATGGCCTCCTTTCCCACAGTGTCCTCGGAATGTAAGATGCCCTTCCCCTGCCCAAGGCTAATTCTTCCCTGCCGCCGTCCCTGGGACCCCATCAATCACCTGGCAGTAATCTTAGCTTCTCTCTGCCAGCTGGTTTACCCATATTAAAAAGGCCGATCTCTCCTGTCCTAAGGGAAATGAAGCCCTCCCTGACCCGGTGGACCCTCTAGCTACTGTGTCCACCACCCCCTTCTCAATCAAATTGTATGAAAGAGCAGCTACAGTCTCGGGTGCTTCCATCCCATTCTGTGGCCCTCTGCTGTCTGCTCTCTGCTTCTTGTTAAAACTATTCTCTTCATGGTCAACTGTGAGATCCAATTTGACAGGCAGCTTTCAGCCTTTATCCTGCTTGACTTTTTTTTTTTTTTTTTTTTTACGGTGTATTACAGACTACTTCCTCCTCCTTGACACGTTTCTCTTTCCATGGAAATTCCTCCTTCACGCTTCTTCCCACCGTCTCTTGCCGTCCCTGCTCAGCTGCCTTACTGGGTTTTATTTCCTCACCTGTAGCTTAAACAAATTGTTGAAAGATCACCTACATGCCTACGAGTGCTCAAATTAAACTCATAAGCTGAGCCAGTCCATGTGACAGGTACCCAAGGCAGATGCTAGAAGGTATGTAGCACCTCTAGAAACACACCAGCTACCCTTCCCAGCTGCGGTCCTCCTCTAAGATACCACCGTGCCTTCTTCCCCACCACAGGTGAGTTCTGCCTGTGAATCCAGGCTGTGAGCACTTGGTTTTGTTGGCTCAACACTGCGTGAGAGAGAAGTGTCCACATTTTTTAAGGTTATAGCTTGTTCTCATTGCTGTACGGGAGTTGATGGAAAAAAAATATAGCACAGTTAAGGGCTGGCAAGATGGCTCGGCAGGTAAAGGCGCTTGCTGCCGAGACTTGAGTTTGATCTCTGGTGGAAGGAGAGAACTGGCTCCTGCAAGTTATTCTCTGACTTCCACACACATGCTATGGCACAAGACTCCCCCCACACACACACACACAATAAACAACAACAAAAATAGAATTGGCCGTAGTTGATTTATCTTCCTCTATGATGAACATTTATAAAAATCTCTGGCTTTTGCTTTTCAAGAGGGGGATGCTGTGAAGAAATGTGTCCCTGGTTTTTTGAAGACCAGCTCCCTCCATCTCCTGAGATTATCTTCCCAAGTGGAGTTGCCCAGAGGAGTCGGAGATTTGGAGGATGAGACGGTCAAAGACTATTTAGATGTAAAAACATCTTGATAAGAAAGAAGCTCATGGAATGTTCAGGCGCATTTATTTTTCCAAACACAGTTTTTATAAACTAAATTTTTATATCTGCATTTCAACCCAACAATAAGAGAAGTCTGGATATTCACAATCTTTTTTCAGGCAAGATTAAATCATTTCTACCTGATGTACAAAATTCTTATAGGAGCAATTCAGTTCATAAGATATCCCCCCCCCCCCGCCCATAGGACCAATGATTTCTTACAATGGCTAGAGTCCTTCATTATATGTTTGATCATTGATGTGTGTGTGTGTGTGTGTGTGTGTGTGTGTGTGTGTGTGTGTGTGT